TCCAAATATTACTAATTCTTTCTTCTCAGTGTTGAGGGACATAGAAAACTTAACCTACTTTCCCAGCTTGCATATATACAAGCAGTGCAAGGTCTGCATTAGATTTTGAAGAAAATTGAAATATGGGATTGAAATAGATGGAGAGATTAATATTTACATCATAGCAAACAGCAAATTTTTCCTTCCTGCTGTATGTCCTTCCTGTTGCCCTCATGCAAATAATTCACTGTTTGGATCTTAATTGGCTCTCTCTCTGACATCTGAAACCTCTCCTTGCTTGGGAGAAATAATTTCATTACTGAAAACACAGCAGAGCTGCTGGGCTTCTCTGCAACCTAACTGAATTAAAATCATGAGAAGATAAATGCAAGGGAGTTACTTTCAGAGGCGAGAAAACGTCAATTTGATAAGAGGATTCAAGGAACAGTGGCAAGTGCAGGGCTTCCAAGAAACATTTCCTTCACAATATCTGTCTTCTGCATGAGTCATGCAACTCTGGGTCACACTTCCAGATGGGGTAAGTAGCTGCTTCTCTTGGACAGCAGTGAGATTTATAGTAATTGAAGGTGAGGATAAACCTGGGTGGAGTCTAATAGACAAGCCCTGAAAACATTCTTGCAGTGTCTTTTATGCCCCACTTATTTACTAAAGAATATAACTATACACTAGAGCCAACAAAATGCCCACAGGTACTCTAGTGTCTGTATTTGCTCTCAGGAGAGCAGTAAAGCCCAGAAGTTGGGTGCACAGCAGCTGGCACAACAAGCATCTGGAATCAAGTTGGGTGCACAGCAGCTGGCACAACAAGCATCTGGAATCACTCCCTTCAGTTTCCTTAAAAACTTTTCTCACATTTCAAAACAAAATCTTAGCATGCATAACCCAATGCATCTGGGAGCCGGGGTTGCTAAGGAGCTGGAGTAAATAAATGGCTTTGCTCTAAAGGAACACCTCATCCTCTTAATTTCAAATGAATATATGCATGCTCAGCATTTTATTGAAAGTTGTACTCGGTGCCCATGGAACTAAGGGGCAAAGAATGTGAGACCAAATTGGACAAAGGTAGGAGAACAAAAGGGCTCTAGATGGTGAAAACTTTTAACACATACCAGTTTTAACATAGGCCTTCTCACGTTAGGCTACAGCTAGTCTCTGCAGGGACCTGCTACTACAATCAGTGCTGACATATTGGAAGTGGGGACTTCTGAAGGATAGCAGAGAACATTTCATTTGCAACAGAAGTCACAACTGAAGTGCTGCATGTTTTCTTGTTTAAGCAACAGAGAATATCAGTCTTTTCCACAGAGACTAAAAGATGGTAGTTTCTAATATTCCCAAGTATGCATCCTTTTTCCACTTGAAGAAATTCAACTCTTGCTAGCATGTTTTGGAGATTAGCTCTGGCTTCATCTTCAGTGGAGCACATTGCCATCAGTAGCATTAACAGTAATGAAGCCAAGAGAAGTATGTATGTACCTGCCAGTGACATCTGATGCAACTCGTACAGGGCAAAACAAACTTGTAATAACCTAAACTTTACTGCCAGAGAGACATTTTATTCTTCTGTTTTCCTCCTTTCCTCCCCTAAAATATAGTCGTTTTCCCCTTTGTTTTCAACAAGTTCTCTTCAGCTATCAATTGCCAAGGTGCACAGGTCAGAGAGAACTGCTAAAGAGCAATGTGATGTAATCCTTCTACTTAAAGTACAGGAATAAGTCAAGAGTTTCTTGCCAAGACACACAGGCAACTTTCAACTATGTGATACAGATTAGGGAAAAGAAAGAGCACTAATAAACTGACACATGTAAAATTTCCTCTACTTGCAATCTTCAGCAGATCTAAGATAATTGGCATTGTGATATAAAAGCTAACATAAATGATTAATGTGCACTCTTGGTGGAGGGGAGAAACACAGCAAGTGTGTTCCGGGTCAGCTGGATGCTGATTACACTACCCAAATTCTTTACAGGATTCTTAACGTGCATGGCTCACCATCAGCAAAGCAGTCCATTCCAAATGTAATATTGTCAATAGCAATGTCAGCTTGGGAATTCCAACCCCAGGTTGCCAGGAGTTGCAGTTGAAACCTTTGCAAAAAGACAGAAGATTTAGAGAAGACAAAGAGGCAGACAGAAAAAAAAACAGCAGCAACAACAAAAGCCTAAAAATATAATGTTCTCTTACCAACCAATAGTGATAATCATAATTTAGAATCTTTCCTTTAGACAAGCTGCTGAACAGCCATAAGAGCTTGCTAGAAATATTCATACACTAACAGTTAGTAGGACCAACCAATGCTCGTATAATGTCACATTCAATGTGGAACAAACATGAGAACCCTACTCCCCCTGCTATCTGCACACACACAGGAAAACAAGATGCTCTCCCTCACAAATATTTATACGTACACAACCATCCTTACCAATCACTGCTGATGGTAATGGAATTTGGCACGTGAGAAAGAAAAGGGAAAATTAATCTTTTTTTCTATCCCCAAGGAGACAGCCAAAATAAAAATTAAACAGAGCAATATCCAGAAAGACAGCAATCTTAGGCCTAAGCGTTGGCCAGTGTAACCAGAAAAATAACAAGGTGACACAAATTTATTTCAGCAGATATTCAGGCCATTTTAAATTTCAGCCACAAATTACCAAAGTGTTTGCATTCTGGGCTACTTCACTTTTCCCACTATGACCAGATGTTAACTACTTATCTAGGAAGCCTGTCATGCCCCATGAGCATTGCCACATTCTGAATTCAGAAGAAGGAAGGAAAATGAACGGAAGGACCGTCTTCTAATAGATAGGACTAAATTGTTTTTCATTAAACTTCAGAAATAAACAGATGCCTGATGTTCAGCCTATTTACAGCTTATTAAGGACTCATGGAGAAGACCTCTACTGCTGTCACTGACAATGCTTCATCATGATTTATGATGAAGTGCTGACCTGCCTATCAGTACCTTCTTGTCCCAAATTACTGGCAGTATACGTGCATATTCTGTCCACCAACCAAATGTTGATACATGTCACAGAATCACAGAATGGTTGAGATTGGAAGGGACCTGTGGGTATGTATGGCCCAACCCCTGTTCAAGCAGAGACACTCTGAGCAGGGTGCCCAGAGGTTTCTGGGTATCACTAAGGAGGAGACCCACAGCCTCTGTTGGCAAACTGCACTAGTGCTCTGGCACCTGCATAACCCACAAACTGGCATCCACAGTTAATATAATGTTGCAAAGTTGAATCTTGAAGATTCTGATTCTCAGGAATAGTCCCTTGTGCTTCAAATAAAAGCTTTCATATGTACAGAACCTGAACCCTCAGGGAATAAGTGATGGCACAGCAAATCCAAATAATGTGTTCCTTGAATGATCACTCTCTTAGCTATGGGGTTAGCAGAGGAGTTTACCCAATGGGAATCACCTTCCTACAGATCAGATGCCTCTCTTTTTAACAGTACCTCTGCATTTTCAGACTTTGCACATCAGTCCAATGCAGCAACTAGCCAGAGCATTTGATGGACGATAAAACTCACAGTAACCTTAGCCCAGGATTAGGGACTTCTAGGATCCACAGCCAAAGATACAGCATCACAGTCTAATCCTTTCTGAAGACACGTCAGCATATCCTTGGTCTGGTCAAGATACTGTATCTGGTCCATAGAGTCAGAACGGAAGGACCACGACATTGTGCTACAAGATCGATTTCTGTTCTAGCTGAGTATAAGTGGGTGCCTGGGGAATGACTCTCATCCCCCAGTGCATAAGAGGAGACACCTCACAAGTGCTGGGCTCTGTATGCCTCCCATTCCTTCTAACTTCAGAAAAAGAGGAAGAATTCGCCTTTTGAACTCTGTACTTGTTAGCCAGAGGGGTTTCCAGCATCCCTGTTCATTGAACTCATTTTATTGACTCTAACATAGCCCTCTCAATTTCTCTTCTGTCTGGTCTCCTGTACGCCTGATTTTCTTCCGATAGCAAAATTTTTTCCTTGTGTATGTGAACCAAGTGAGAGAACCTGCCAGCTGATTACCAGGAACAGATTTCCAAGTGCCCAGCTGGGATGCTGATCAACAAATTGTGTGTTTTTCTCTCCTAAAAAGTGAGTTTGTTTGGAGAAGATAGTGCTAACAAGCATATATTTCCCCCTCTTTTGTACCCATTTCTTCTTTTACTGAATCTGGACAAACAGGAGAAAAGTTAGCTAAACTGATTTCTAGAGCTAGGACATAAACATATGGGGTTTGGGCCTGTGATTTACAGAAAGAAGCAAGTAGGCAATGGAGTAGAAAAATTGAGAATAAACCTTGATGATAGGTCTGGGGTCATCTAAATAAAATAGCACGAGAAATGACCAGGAGAGTATGAAACACGAGGGGAGGGACAGACTGTAACAGAATCACTGAATTGATTGGAAGGGACTTCCCCTCATTCAGTTTGAAACATGCACACATGAGCTACCTTTTTGTTTTGTCTGGGTGCTCAACTATCTCATATTTAACACTACTGGAATTTCTTTTTTTTTCTTTTTTTTTTTTTCTTCCCCTTCAGAGAGTGCTGGCTATTGCTCCCTAAAGCCATTTGGTGTCCTTTCCATCCTGCCACATCCATTTCCCTTCAGACCAATTTCCCTTCAGAACTGAGGTCTGACACAAAAACTGGAGGCTTTGCAGATGGAAAAATAGGAGACCATTTATTAGAGGGAGCAGAAGCTCTTTAACAACTTTGAAAAGCCCAAAAGACTCTGCTCTGGCTAGGTCCAGATGAAAATGCCTGAGGGAAAGAGCTATTCTGGACAAATTCACTGGTCGTATTTTAAATACACAGAACTAAACACACGCTTATCCACTGGGCTCCAGACTGTCAGACGAGGATATACACTACACTGTCAGTTTGCAGACCTATCATATTCTGAAGGAGCACACACTAATGTTGTGACCAAAGGTAATCACAAAATTAAAGTAGGAAAAAGGGTGGGACAACATTCTCCTTCCCCACTTCCTGTTTTGTTGCTGCTTGGATCTGAATTGCTACCACTTCAGACCCAAATCCCTTAACTTTTTACAAAAAGATGCTGAGAACATTTCCAGTTAAAAGCAATCCCCTCAAACCTTTTAACCCATGAAGTTTTAAGACAATACTTAACGCCAATAGTAGGTAGATCTTTTTACATTTATAATATTACATAGAGTTTGAGATTGATTTTTTTGTCTTAAGTGTGATATGAGACAGGCCTTCTTGAGAAAAATGCAAGAAACAGATTGGAGCAATTTAAAAATGATTTGTATTGTGCAGAATAACTTGCTGTCAACACCATTTCATAGCTTGAAAGTGACTGACACAGAATGGAGGAGAAAGACAGAAGACTTCCTCAGCAAACAGAATTGCTGTACTCCTCTAATTTTGTCAGTAGTAATGGGCCTGGAAGATGGCAAAAATGAAAGCGATAGTTCTCAATGAAGACACTAATAATTTACAAAATCTGTAGGGATATCTCTGGGTGCTGCTGATGGCGTTCTTACCTGTTCTGAAGCACTGGCATTGGTAAAGTGATGAGAAACCAATGATCACTCCAGCTCCCTGCTCTTTCCCATATTGGCAAGGTAACTGGAACTCCATTTTTTTCTTCCCTGGCAGAGAAGGAGATGGTACCATTGTAGCTGCCAAAAACATGCACTGAGAATTGGATCTGTAACAGAGCAAGAGCAAAAAAAGAATGGTATCCTCTGATAAATAGGAGATAGTACTTACTACTCCCTCCTTCAGGATATGAGACTGTGGGTCAAACTTTAATCACAAATACCACTAACACCCCCAGTGCTTTTGTGTGATTCCATCACTGTTCCCAGCACAGAATTTTCTTGTTGGAGACCTCAACTGACACTTGTGTTCTCAGACTCTAACAACTATACCAATGGCCTCAGATATTATCTGGGTGATCATTATCTTCTTCAGGAGCAATAAGTAACAAAGCAGAGGAACACAAGCTTAAGGTCAAGAAAAGCTTTATCATTAAATGTTTCTACTAGAGTTGGAATACTGCAGAAAAGCAATCCTAAATACATTCATTCTCAGAGTTCTCACCAGCCAAAAGACTCCTGTCAAAAGGTTTGAAAGAGCTCAAATCTTCTAAGGTTTCCCATTGTAATCACTCATATTAATGTGTTGCACTGGTGTGGCTCAATCCATACTTAGGCATTATATAGCACAAAACTGCTACAAGGAGAGGACTGCCCTGCCACAAATAGCCAGGAAAAGAGACTATCTCCACAGACAGGAAACTCCAGTCTATATAGATGCCTCAGGTCATAGACACCACCTGAACTGATGTGGCAGGTAAGCAATTTTATCACCAGATCAAAGAATATTTTGAAGCAGGACTCCTTCCTCTCCCTGTCGGGCACCACTGACAGTTTGTCACAGATCAAGAGAAAACTGCCATTTCCACTGATGCCTGGAGCACTCAGCTGCTCTTTGTATTAAAGAGAGCTCAGTCAGGAGATGGAGTACACACACAAATGTATACAACAACAGAAGTTCCTTGCTCTTTAAATGGGTATTCAAATCTGTGTCAGTGAAGGAGAGATTTCCTGTATGATGTCCATGACCACCAGTTACTGCTCCCACTTTTGTGAACCTAGCTCCAGGCACATTTTATTTTGTTGGAACTATTCAGCAAACTTAACCTGAATTTATAAATATAAATGGTGAAGATATATTTTTGGCACCTGCACTGTATTTCTTTTGCCAACTCTAATTAGGAGGCATCAAAGCTTTCTGTTTTCCCCTGGCAGAGCTGGACTCCAGCTCAAGCTTGCAACTTAATTTTCCTAAGTGATATGAGTGCAATATTATTTAAATATTTTTGGTTTCAGCATCTTGAAGCTCCCCTTATATTTTGCAGGGATCTAGGCTGAAGGCAGTATATGTGATTTTATCCACACCAGGTTGGCTTCATCTTTTGAAGTTTCTGAAGAACATGAACAGTTTATCATCTTCATCTATTCCTGGAAGATCTAATGCCCCACAGATTTCACGCTCCTAATCCGTAACAACATAATGCAGTACTTAGGAAGAAAAGTCTCAGCAGCAGTATGCTCAACAGCAGTATGAATGGCTCAACAGGCTCAGACCAACTCTCTCTCCTACAGTCAGAAGACACCCAATACAATTCAGGCATGGATACTCTTCAGAGGAATGGTCTATACACCCAAGCGAGGGAGTATTTCTGTATTTAAGAGCTGATTCAGCACTCCTGGTCTTATTTATGGGAATGCCCCTCCTCTCTTCTTTCTGGAGTTGAACAAGCAGCTAGTTAGGCAGTATACTCCTAGTACAGTAAAGCACTTTGTTGTGTTTCATACATTGCACACAGGCACAGAGAAGACGGACACATTGCAAAAACAGCGTACAGCCTGAGAACTAGCTCCAAAAGGTGCTTAGGCAGAAGGAGATACCTGGTAATCTTCAGTAGCAATACTAGCTGGCAAGCTGGTACTGAAGGCCTTGGCGATGCCATTTGTCTGATTGCTATCTGCTCGCAGATAGAGGAAGTGTCCTGAGGACAGAAAAAATACATATTTTTTAATACTTTCAAAATACTTCAACATCATTGTTCTGAAGCACAGTGCAAGTAGGAGGACATGATAAAAACATGGCTTAAGAGTACGTTTATTAGTGAACTACAATGAATACACTAGTAGATTTCAGCAGCACAAAAGTCAATATCCCAAACTTTTCTCTGCAACACAAGTAGAGTGTATAAATCTCAGAAGCCACTCACGTACATTTCCATACAGTGGTTCACAGCAGTCTACTCTGAGTTCTTTGATCAGCCCTGAGCATCAACAACTTGCTAAGACAAATACGGTGCCAGTAGAGCTTATTTGTAGTCTTTGTTCCTAGTAAGAGTTTGTATGAACTCTGAAGAGACAAACAGAACTCTCCCATGAGCAGTCTCTATTCTGATAGGGAACTGAATCAAAACTCAGCTTCCGACTTCAAATATGAACATGTCAGAATTTGGCTTCCCTCCTTATTTAAAAAGCAGACAGTTCTGGGAATTATCAGACCTTTTTTTTTTTTTTTTTTTTTTTTTTTTTTTTTTTTTTTTTCCTGTGATATTCTACAGCACAAAATATTTATTATCACTTCATCTTGGGACAGACTTAGATGTGATTCTCTTTATAACCCACCAACAGAGCCTGAGAAAAGTCTCCAAAAAAATGTGTGTTTTACAAGATGCTTAGTTCTGTAGGGCAATTTTTACTTTGTGATGCTGCAGCTGAAGTATTCTGCAATTGCCTATCTCGTAAGAGCAAGGAGGAAAGAGACATATAGAGAGAGGAAAGAATTCATCATATAATTCTTTTCAAAGGTGAAGACATTCTAGACTCCTAGAGTTTCATGTTAAATTTTCTACAGAACATTTCATACCAAGTTTTGTTTTGGGATCAAAAGTTAGTTTTAGCTACATTTAAAATTATTCTAGATAATACTAATGATAAATTTGTTTTGGAAAGAAGAATGCCAAACATTTTAAACTAATTAAAAAAACCCCACATCCCTAAGTTCAAGACTTATTCATATGCATGCTGGCACACACGTACATGAACACATAAAATAAGCACTCACAGAGAGGCAGATTAAGAAAGAACTATGAAGACCCTACCTGCAGTAGCTTGCAAGGTAGACCCTACAAATGAACCGTTGTGAATCATTTCATTAAAGCCACTGATAGACCAAGGAAATGCTGCAGTTTCATTCAGTGTCCAGCCACATGAACCCTCTTCAAAAGAGCAATGTGAACCTTCTGGGAGACTATCTACAATGGACCATAAGAAAATGCAGGAAAATAGAAGAAACCTGATTATGGAAGAAGGCAAACAGCAGAAAAAGTCAAAATTTACTATAGTTCTTGAAACTACCCCACTTACACTGTCTTTCAGTGTCAGAATATTAATAGGTCTCATTTGTTTATTTCCACAGTCATCAAAAAAGTCAACATTTTTTGCTACTGGAACTGTTAGACACTGCAGTTCTGTCACTGAAAACAGCAATTCCCACAGTCTAAAGTGGTAAATCACTCCATACATTTGTAAAAGCCCTGCTCTAAATTAAATTATAGACATCATGAGGCTTTCTGTGAAAGGCAGTCAACAGATTATTCTAGATCTTTGTCACCAGAATTGCAAAAAAAAAACAAAAACAAAAAAAAAACACCCAAACAAATAATGTTTCTCAGCACTAAGTGTACTTCTTTCTTTGTCAGAATATGCAAGATGAGAACTTCCATGTCTAGGAGGGACAGATTTGTGATTTATCCTGTTGGTAGTTGGCATGAAAATAATGATCAGCATTTTCCACTGAAGGGAGGTTCATACATTGAGTCCATAGGGAATTTCTCACCCACCAGCCATAAATGTGTAAATAAGATTTTGCTTTCCTCCGAAGCAGGATTGGCTATGAAACACAGGTCACTGAATGTCTTATTGCAATATTAAAAATAATACTAAATCAATTTTATCCTATATGGAATTAATTTTCAAGAAGAATCTTGATAATAAAATAATAAAAACAGGCTAAATTATTATAGGAGGCTTAATAATGGATTAATCTAGAAATAGAATCAATTTAACCTGTATTTTGTTCTAAACTGATTATTGTAACAGGATGAAGGCTCCCATGAAGTGCCATGCCATCTACTCACCACATCTTACTCCTTCCACTTCTTCGGTAGGGCAATCACTGATGAATTCACAGATTTGTAAGTGGCTAACACAGCCTCCATGAAGGCAGGGGAAGGAAGAGCCTTTGTTATATATAGAAAGATCTGGGTTTTCTTTATCTAAAGGGAAAAAAAAAAAAGAAGCTCAGAGATGAATCAGCAGAGTTTATATATATATTCCTGCATGTGCATCAGCCTTCACACATATGACCTCAGAAATTGTCCTCTGGGTGATAAATGACACTTGGCTGTGCTCTTTGTCATGCAGGTTTCTATCCAGCATCAGATTCCCAAGATTGCCTCAGCTCTCACACAGACCAAATTTATTGCTCCTTTCTCTTTCCTGCACACACTAGCTTCTGCTGTGTTTGTGCTATCTTCAGGCAATCAGATTTTTATTTTGTTTTTACTGAGGATCCTACAGTTCTCTACATGGTGAGTTCTTCAGTCCTGCACATGTGATCATGCACCTGTCAGACAGCAGTGGCACGCTGCATGACACTGCTGCTGGAAGCAGCAATGTGCACTTAGCTCTGGGCCTGATGGACACATTGTTATGGCCAATTGAGAATCAGGCTCAACTAATACTTGTGTTGCTGACATATTGTTATGCCATCTTTGTGGCATCCAGCCCATGATGAAAGATGTTTCTTCAGCAGGCTGGCTCACTCATGCACCCCAACTTGCCTATCCAGCTACACTCCAGGAGTACTGAACCAGCCACATGGGTACTCAGCTACAGGCTGCATACAATTTTTAAGCATGATATTTTCTGAAATCATCACTCAGTGTAGCAAGCTTGTCCTGTGGATACGTGTGTGCACAGATTCATTGTGGATCTGCAGGTGTATGAAAGTTTAATCTGGACCTGTTCCCTGTTAGCAGAGCTCTGCACAGGTCTCCTATTACAATTGTTACTGCTCTGGAAAAAATGCAGAACTTAGAAAGAAAATCCCAGGAGGAGGATGAAAGGATGTTTGAAACATCATTTCTTCAGGGTACTGTGTTGTGCTGGGTACATGCAACAGCTTGTTTAGGGGCACTTTGGAGGTTTAGCACAATGCTTCGGGCTGTATGCATCCTCTCAAAAACTCCAAGACTGTGAAAAACATTGCATTAAAAGTATATTATTTGTTAAATTAAAAGATTGACTGCAATAAAATTAGATCTCTAGTATGATTAAAAACAATCTCGTGATATATGATGAAACAGCTCCGAAAAAATTCTTACATTTGAAACTTTTTAGATCTTACATTTCTATTCAAAGCTAATTCTACAGTGTCTGCAAAACAGAAGCAATAGCATTATATTAATGGATGAAAACCAGGAAGTGGAGATGATTATGTCTCCAACTTACAGGCTGCCTGCACCAGCAGACTCATACACTTCCCAGAAGCCTGAATGACATTAGCAGGGTTCTGCACATGTACTGAGGATCACTTGCATGACACTGGCAACAGGTCTGAAAATGCTAGGTAAAACTGATCATTTCTGAGCTGAGCACTCAGTACTTTGGATAAATTACATTCAAATTATTTTCATTTTGTACAGAAGTTCTGAGCCAGGCAGTAGCAAATAGACACCACAGACTGCAGACCAAAGTTCCTTTTCTTCATAAATTTGTAAGATAGAGCCCCAGCATGGAAAAGGCTTTAATGACACTGAGTAGCCTTTTGTTACTATCTGAGAAAGAAAAACATTAAACGCTAAAATATCCTAGGCAGAGACTTCTTTCCATCCCTGTTGCTAGATCCAGCATGAGCTCTGTTACTTTCTTATACATTTGTATGAGCGTCAGTGCAAAGCAAATGTAACAAAAAGCAGAGAACAATACTGAACTCAGTTCAATTTTGTGCTTCAACTCTGCTTTCTGAGCATGTGCACACAAAATACATTCAAATATGACCCTTGACAGGTAAGCACTGCCAAAAATCATAGAGGACACTCAGCTTTCATGTATGTCCTATCTGACCACATCTTTAATCGCGCTCACCATTTTTTTGTGAGGATGCTGCTCTCTTTTGTGACTGCATTTGATTATTCCAAAACTGACTGTATTGCAACATACCATGGAAGCAGTTTGTGAGCTGCAAGGAGCCCACTGCCAGTAGTCCAGTCTCTTGTGCTCCACAGTTTGAATACAGCAAGGTGATTTTAAAAGGTCTTTCTATTCGGCCAATCTGAGCCATCATGGATTTCCATTTCACCCTAGAACACAACAAGGAGCTCTCAGATGTACAAAGAGCATGCTGGAGTCCACAGAGTATCTAGCACAGATTCTACACTGCACCAAATAGAAGCGATGGTATTTACACAGGGAAGGAGTTAATGAATATAAAGTACAACATAGCAGGCATTCATTTAGAACAAATGACATTCTACCTAAAAAGTTCATATTCAGGTATCCTTGTCTCAGCCCCTATTGTTCTAACTTATATTTCCCCACACAACAAACAGTATAACTCTGAGACATCAAAAGTATCTCAGCTGTAGAGCCCTTGTGGCAGTTCAGAGAAAGATGGATGGTGGCATGCACTCTAATTTTAAAGATGGTTGCTAGGCATTGAAAGCTAGACAGTGACATCCAATGGGAATTTTCAAAGTACCTCACTCAAATCAGTCTATCAGGAGTTAGGGTAACCAAGTGTAGATTTAAAAAAAGAAAACCCTACAAGATTCCTAAGAATCTTTTTAAAAACAAACAAACAAACAAAAAAAAAAACCTCTGTCCTTCCACCTAATGGTAAGAGAACAAGAAAGTACATTTAAAACTGTATGTTACTGTTTTGTAAAGAGGTTATAGAAAGGTTAGGAATTCCTGCTATAAACCCTCTCTTGAAAAGAGTACCAGATAGATACATTTATTTATAATCCACCCACAAGCTTGATGTTGCTGCTGGCACCCTCAGTGAGTAACTCTAAGCCAGTGGGAGAAGAAGGAAGCACTAGAAGCTGGAAGGAGGCCCCACCACAGAGTCAAGATGTGTCGGTAAAGCTCTGTTCCTAGTATTGCTTTTTCATTTAGGAAATGCTTTAACTGCCACAGAGTGATCATCTGCTCCTAGCCTGCATCTGAAACTGTTTTGAAGGCAACTCTTGGATAACAAATACATGCTTACTGGACGCAATGTGAAAATTACACACTACCTAATCGGGAACTTGAAAATAAGTCAAGCACTTTGACTTGTTTTTCACCTTCTCCACTTTTGGTTGCTGCTGCTTTGTTTTTCATTTTACACTAAAGTGCAGCTTCAGGAATATTCAGTACTAAGACATACAGAATTATTCCCTCAGCCAAGCTGTGACACAACATCCAAGTGCATTCATCTCTGACCCAGAGCTGTATCATTCCTGCTACATGACAATGCTTTGTTCATCACTTCATTGCATCCACTTGGCCTCAAAAAAATCAGTGGGCCTTAAACTAACTGGTTCAACAAGCCACTGGAGATAAGGACAGTCTCTGCATCTTTTGCATTTACCTACTAAGAATACAAGACCTACTAACCACTGACTTCCACTACCTCCACCAAACTACAACACAGCCCCCAAGCATCACCACTGTTATCATAATCCTAAGCACAGGAGTCCACAGCAGCCACTCCATGATTCACAACTGGTGTTATGTTTATGTTAGCAACTAAAGAGATTACTGCCCACAGCTGAAAACAATGAACTCGTTTCACTTCTGCACCTTAATTGTATATGGTTTACTAGCCACACACTCTGAATCTTGCAGTTTACAGCCTAGTATTTCAAAATGAAGTACAACCACTGGCTATCTAAGTCAATAAACCAACTTCTGAAACATCATATCTGAGAAAGACCCACTATCTTCCCTGCCATCTCAGCTGGGAGAACAGTGGGCTTCTGAGAGAATACTAATCTTAAACCACTGTTCGTGTGAACTGGCAGCTCTATTGAGTCAGAGCCCTAAGGTCCCATGAAATACTCCAGTTCTGCACTGGAAAGATCCGTAACACTGAAATTTCAGTCCATTTATATACCATCACTAAAAAATCTTGCAAGCATCCAGAGACTGCAAAAACAACAAGCAACTTTCTATCACCCAGAACATTCAAACGTATAGAGTCTCATCATCATCAAGGCATTCCCACTTAGATAAGCCCTCCACCTCAACATACAACAGCAACAAGATTTCTAACACGGTAAATATTTGCTTTGTCCCAGCATCCGAGCAAAGGATAGTCAGAACCAACTTAATTTTCTTAATGGAATCAGGAACAAAGCCCATTGTTAAGCTACTAAGAAGATGGATCATTGTAGCAGGCTTTCAGATAAGCCAAGCTTGGCAATATCTTTACTATCGATTTTATGTCAAGCCAGATCTCGACTAATGAGGTAATATTCTTCTTCTAAGTACAGATGTTAAAACTGCTCTGTATGTATAGAAGGGCAGTCAGAATCTGACATCATTTTGAGAAATTTACACAGATATAAAGTTTTGAGTTGCAAGGAACCTGATGCCTAAGGCAACAGAACTCGAGATTTGCCCTGCTAACCTACAATTTTCATTTTTGATTTTCACTAGCCTAGGCTAAACAAAAGCTTTTTCTTTTCCTTACCAATCTTTGCTATGCCATGCCTTTCCATCTCCAACACAATTAACAGATTGTGCATTTTAAGAAAAAATATTTTATTATTAAGAACAATTTCTTCATTAAGAGTGACAAATTAAAAAACCCTAACACGAAAGCTAAAACCTTTTCTGAACTGGGAGACGCTACAGGAGTTACTGCAGAAAGTTATACTAACTGCCTCAAGGTACTATCAGTGAACATACAACTTAGAAGCTTTACATTTCTTTTCCACATAGAGGAAGCTAGTCATCGGATGCAAGAAGAAATAGATGACAGAACAGAACATACGCCTGCAACTCCTGCCCTTACTAACCAGCTACAGATCCTTCCTTCTTGGCCCAGAATATTTTTCAGTGCAATCTCAACAGAAGCATGAGAGTCAGTAAACCATACTCCTAGGTTAGTGATCAAAATCAGTCTTTCATAACAGCAGTGCAGTCTCTCCTTTTGTAGCTTTATTTTTTAATTTAAATAGCTGTGCTCGTTGCTGTCAGTACGTATTAGGCATTTTCTGAGGACACTTACCAGACTATTCCCTTTCAAAGGCTTATGGAGTTGGACACCTAATTTATTAATTCTGAATGACCGTAGGTGTTTCCAGACATTCAAATCAGCTATATGGCAATACCTCTACATACAAGAGTAGAAGTTAAAGAACTTCTCTCGACAATAGAACCCAAACTGGGTGAAGAGCAGTCTCAAAGATAGTAAGAACCTATAGGAGTTGCAGAAGCTGGCAGGGCATTTTAGCAACTCCGCTCCACAAAAGGGAAAAAAAAAAGGGAAAAAAGCAGTAAAGATAGGGAGAACTAAGGAATAATCCCTTCGTGAGGTTGGCTAACTGATGACCATTTGTGTATGTGGCCTTGAACTCACTCTTTCTTGGACTACCAAGATTACCATGGCCAGTACTTTGTGTTTTAGAAAGAAAACAATACGCCCAGCTTACTGATCACACTCTACCACAGAAAGGGAAAAGATTATCACTGCCCCAAGCAGTGCTTTTTTATTCTCATTGAAGTTTGAGCTAAAAGAAACAAGTTCCATTATTGAATTAGTTTTGGCTGACAACACTGAAACAATTGTGGTCAACAACAAATACAAGCAAGTGAAATCATTCAAAACAAAACCACATAAGACTTTTCACAAGAGTTTTCAGGTGTGACTAGTTTCTTGCTCTGTATGATAATGAGGAAAAAGGTGGGGTAAGCAAAGTAGTCATAAAGACATTATCAGTGATCTGAACAAGCACCAGGACTGTAACCACGAGAAAGTGAAGACAGCTTTGAGCCAAGAACCAGATGAAGAAAGCTTGGGCCTGCAAACAAAAATGCGGTCTCTTGATGTTTGATCTCTACTGAGATAATAACAAACATAATTTTATATATTTTTTGTAAATATGTAGAATTTCAAACACCTCGCTCCTACAGCAACTCTCCCTCTAACTGAGAAGTTTGGAGTACTTATATGTTATAGGTGTGGCATAAAATAACAATAAAAAATATGAGCTTGCCCTACTTATCTGGGAACTTAGTGCCTGAAGGTCTGTCTGTTTCTCTTTTGCTACAGTGCATTTGCAAAAGATGGGTGGCAACTTCAATACTACAGATAAAACCTACCAGCCTGTGAGGTGGTCGGGACTTTTTCTTATGAGTGACATATCTCTAAGCTTTAGAGAACTGTGTAGCTGATAGACCTTGAAGGAGGAAACACAAACAGCAGAAGACTTCCAGGACCAGAAAGAGTGCAGTTCACTGAAGTTATTTACTATTGCTGGAATTCATGACGAAGCACAGCTTGATTTTGGAATTAAAAGATGATAGAGAGGACTGAAGCAGGATTTTCTGAGCTAATTATCTGAAAAAGTGATATCTAGCCTTCTTTCTATTTCTTGTTTTTCACTCTGACTTCAAGATAATCTCTCAGTAGCAACTGAAGATTAAAATATGTAATACAAATAGGCGTCTATCTCTAGGTGCTTTCCTTTTATTCTCTCTATCTTCCTTTTATTCTACAAAATGTGCAGCTTTGATTGGATAACACACGAAAGTGTGTATGACTTCTACTCCCTCTGGAAAGTGGGAATGTTTCAAGATGGTCTCTGTTCTTAATAACCAATACTGTTTAAATTTTAATCCCAGAAAACCTGCTTATTTCAGAGTAGCTGCCTAATAAGAAACAGCTCAAACACCGTAGAAATAAATTTTGTTCTGCCTGCATGTACAAATTTTCCTGGAACTGTGCAGAGAACCATAAAGATGGGGTAAAGTAAGGATACTTGACCTAAAATTGTTCTTAATTATTTTGTGCTTCTTCCTTTCCCTCCTTTCTATTTTGACTTAGGAGTCAATCACCTTCCACCTTTACATTCTTAAAACTAAAGCCTCAGTTCTTACCAGTGTTTCATTTCACTAAGTAATACCAATGCTCATACCAATTTCCAGTGACACTAATTCCATTCCAAGGTGTGTAAATAACATCACTTTCAGACAATAATTTAGACAATAATTTTACGTAGAATTTTTTTGTAGTGCTCAAATAAGCTCTTAAACAATGACTACGGTTCATTTCAGAAATGCTACACTGTGATCAAAGCCTGTCCTGGGCAGGTAGGTATCACAAAGGGTATTTTATGAGTTAATTCTGGGAAACTGTGGCTGCAGTTGTTTAGGCAAGTAGAGGCTTGTCAAGTACGTAAAGGAGGTGAAAAAGGAGGTTAGAAATTTATCCCAGAAAATGTTACAAATTCCTTGTGAAACTGGCAAAAAGGAAAGGAAGGAGTAGCCAGGAAGGAAGTGAGCAATAGCTAAAAGTAGGAGTGAGAGATGGATTTGAAGTAGAATATGTTTTCTTAGTCAAACTGCTGTCTTTGGCTGACCAGAAGTCTTGGCTGAAGATCTCCATGGCAGCTTGAGAAGTGCCAAAGAATTCAAAGAAAACAAGCACTGGGATCTATTGCTTAAGTTCTCCATGGGAGTCAGTCAGGTGATGGAAATAAAAAGCACTGTTCTGTGCCTGACTCAGGTTCTTACAAGACATATTGCAGCAAAGGAAAAAGCAAGCACATGGAAAATGGCAAAATCAAATGACATGTGGGCCTTTCTCCTTTTCCTGTTGTGATACATTCCCTTTACCCATTTCTTCTCCTCGCTGCATTCTGCTTCATGCAGGAATGAAAAAAAAAAATGTGGGAAAGATCAAAGAGTAGAAAATATAGGACAAGATCCAGGGTTGCTGCAATTCCTTTTTTTTTTTCCCTTTATCTCTTCTCACCTCTAGCCTTTGCTTTTCCACTCTCTGAACTCTACAGATAAAACAAAAGAGGATGCTCCCGAACTTAGCAGACAGAAGGAAGAAATTACAAAAGAGGCAGAATTAGCCCTTCTCAAAATCTGACTACAACAGGACTCCTTGAATACTTAGAGATATCAGTCATTTCACCAACACAGCCTTTGGACTGAGTGCATTTTAAATTCTATACTCCTAGAATCAGTGAGGGAGTCAGCCACTCTCACCTCTCCTGAATATGAGGGAGAAGGAATGACTGCTAATTGGATGTGTTCTTTGCAAAGGGGGCAAACAAAACCTGTGTCTGTTACAGACATCCTGTCAGGAAGCTGCACAACTCAGTCCTGACAGTTCTACTTTCATTTTTTGCTCTACAAAAGCAATAATCTCAAGGGGAGAGAAGATGTTGAAGCCCAGAGAGACTTCACCCTACTCTGCAATTTAAAGTCTAAAGAGCTGCAAATTGATCATCTTACCCAGCATCCTCTTCATGGCCAACTTTCAGAGAAATTATTATATTTCTGTTAGTGTCCACATATCTGATTTCAACTGTGAATCTCTGGAGGAGAGGAACAGCATCCTGTGAATATACGGCTAGTTCCAGCAAACAAGAGTCCACGCTCCCAGGCAGGATTGGGCTGTGCAGGCTGAACTTGCATCTGTCTGGCAGCCTACTCATGTTCAGAAGGAAAATGTCTCCTGTGAGAAGAAAAAAAAAGAAAAGAAAAAAAAAGGACACATCGTGGTTGCAAGAGTTATAATAATATGAAAATAGATAAAGGTTTTTAATAAAGATCTCAAGAAGAAAGCAGAGGACTATGCACAAAGTAAGTATAAATAACAGATAGAAAAGAAAGTAAAGGAGATAAATACATAAAATAGCAATAGAAGGAATGAGAAGAAACCAAACCAAGCAGAGTGAATATGTCCCACAAAACAAAAGCTGAAGATTTCTCAAGTCAGCCAGCAGACATGAGGAGCCAGACCTGACTTGTAAAGGATTGAGTTTTGTAACAAAAATCCATGTGTAAGCAGAAGCAGCTAATGCTAAAACACAGAGCAACAAAAGGAGTATATAAATGAGCTGGCTAGATACAGGGTACATGTATACACAAAGCAGGCAGTACATATAAGGATAATATAAATTATAAGGCTCTCAGTGACAGATTATCTTAGGCACAGACAATGTAGCTAATAGTCGCACACCAGAACCAGCATAAGGCAGTATTTTTAAAGATTTGTGACTGAGGTCTCAGACTGCCAACTCCTATTGCTGCTGCCCACAGCTATCAGCAGTGGTGGGAGAAAGCAGGTGCTCACCGGGGGGAAACTGTAACTGCCTACCTTCAACAACTCCTTGGGAGGAACTGTTTTCCAGAAGCAGCTGCTGCCTCTCATGAGACACCAGGACACTGACTGAAGACAATACCCAGTCTGGTCTTCCAAAATTATCTGTAGATGTCATCCATGAGCAGCGTGAGGCGATGATACAAGAGATTTCTGTCACGAGAAACAAAAAAGGTGTATGGAGTCTCTCTCAAGAAATGAAAGACTAGAAGGGAGAAGAGAGCTGTCTTACGCAATAACAACAAAGAATCTCTTCCAGAGCAGGTGAAGGAATATACCTGAGAGAAAAACAACTCTGCAAATTCTTGGCAGATGTAAATCAGCATCTTCCCACCAATATCAGCAGAGAATTAGTGGATGGTCAACCCACAGGTACAAGGGCTGTTTCAAAGGTAACACCTCCTATTTTATAATCTTGGCCCACAAAGTCAGATGGGGATGCTGGTGGTATGGCAGTAGAGGTTGAACCTTCCTACCAATATTCTGTTGCATTTTATTGCTGTATGATAGATGGCAGCAGAGGGGCAGTCTGACAAAATGGCGTCTGACACAGAAATGTGTATGAAGCAAAAGTACGTAATTGAAATCCTCCACAGAGAAAAAAATCATTCCCATTGACATTCATTGATACTTGCTGAAGTTATGGAGGCCAAACAGTGAATATGAGCACAGTGAGGCAGTGGGTAATATGCTTCAGTAGTGGCAACACTAACTGTACATCAGCTCCATTGGTGCAGATAGTTACAAGTGCAGAGTGCCAGCTTTGGCAACAGTGCATAGTTAATGGTGTTGAATATGTTGAAAAATAGCATTTTGTAGCTGACAATTTGCTCTATCAAATAATGTTACTGTGCTCTTTGTATCTGTTGTAAGTTTCCATGGAAATAAATTGAAGGCATTATTTTGGAGCAACCTAAGTACATAATATTCTGAATAATACTGCAACAGAGATATTGAAACTGTAAGGATTTAACATTTTAACAGAGAGGAACAAAGGAAGCCCTAAGATCTTAAGCAGAATAGCTGAGCAAAGCAAGCTTTATATATATTTTTTCTTTTATTTATTTTCCCCCAGCATTCTACTTTTCTCCAGCAAGATAGACAAGAATGCCCTCCTAAGAACTCCAGAGTCCATTCACAGCACTGAGAACACTAGATCATCCTGGCCAGAATTTTTCATAATCAGCATATTATAAACCAGACAAGTAATTCACTGTTCTCTCATCAATCTAACAATCTCTCCCTGAAGAGACACTAGCTGTACAAAGCTCTCCCACACAGAAAGGAGCTGAATAGATACAGTAAGCTGATATTAACTTGCACAATATTTATTTTCAGTAGTAATAATAATATTACAGTAATAACTTGAGGACCCACAGGCCATATGAGAAACTGTAAGAGTGAACATTCATATTTGGGATCCTGTCATTCAGAGGGTATTCAGACCTTGTACTCATAAACGACACAATTTTATCTCTTTGGTAGCTCTATTGCTTGGAAGAAAAGGTAGGAATTAAGAATAGAATTAAGGTCAGGAATATAACAATGATAGGCTATTGCACAGGCAACACAAATGGGACAGAAGAAAATAAAAAGAGCCTCCAGAGAATTTGTGATACTTTAACTTTCAGGAAAAAAAAACATAATGAAAGCTGCCACGGAAAAAAAGCATCTTCTTGAGTACAAAAGACAAAGTAGACAAGACAAGTTTGCCTAATTTTTAAATTTAACTGTAACCATGTTTACACGCACCATGGAGCATGCAGAATTTAGAGAAATATGAATGTTACAGAGTTACATATCACTGGCTTGGGACAGGCTGTGATCTCCCACCTCCTCTGTATCAAGAAAGATACAGACTTACTGTAATGAGACCAACACAGGCCCACAAATATAGTTGAGGGACTGGACCATATGTGAAGAGAGGCTGACTGAGTGGAACTGTTCAGCACAGAGAAGGCTCATGGGAGCTTTTTGTCAATATATATAAAAACCTAATGGGAGTGAACAAAGAGAATTCTCACTATTGCCCACTGCAGGAAAAAAAAAAGTAATTGGCACAAAGTAAAAAAACAGGAAATTCAATGAACATAAGAAAACACTTGAGAGTGGTAAAGTGTTAGAAACCTGCTGCATATTTAAGTTGTACATTTGCCATCTCATAGGTATTGAAAGCCCAACAGGGTCATAGGCAACTTGCTTTCAGTGATCCTCCCTGAGCAAGTGGATTGGACAAGGTGATCTGAAGAGGTCTCTCCCAGCCTAAGTGATTATTTCACTAAATGGAAAGTCATCCCTTCAATTTCCATGCCGCTGATGACAACTGGCTCCTTTCTCTTAAGTGCTTATGAAATGCGGCATTTATCCTGGCAACGCAGTAAGACCAAATACATCCTACCTATCTCACAAGCATTTTCGTTCAGCTCACTGTTATTTAAAAATTCTTAGAATATTGAAAACTCCAATTGGAAAAAATCTTCATTTGGTGTCAAGAAAGCTACTTTATTCTATGGTTGCTATAGCTCTACTAAATAGCTTTTGTTTAAAGAACTCCCTAACCCAAATCTGGTGTATTACACTGATGATATAGAAGATGTTTATTTTACTTTATTTTAATAATGAAGTAAAGAATTCCCCTAAAGTTGCACTGGTCTTTCTGCGTCACTATGCTATTTTCAGCCAGAAACTCAGTGGCACAGCTTTCTGAAGGATCCTTGTGGCTGCCAGCATCTCATTCGCACCTAGATTTTGAAGTGGAAATAAGGCAAATGTAAAGAAGAGGACTTGAGGTACCTGGTTCAGAAGGCTGAAGAAACGACACCATCCTATTCCTTATCAGGGAGAACTTCTCAGGTGGATTTGGTGTAGGAGGGTTTACTTCATGCGATCCAGAACAGAAGACAACTATAACAAAACAAAAAGAACAGGAGAAGAATTTGATGTTTCTACACAAAACTATACTCTCATATTGTTAAACATGAACACAGATTTAACAAAGCCTCGCTGTATCAATCCACCCTCATTACAGTGTACAGAGGTAATACTGTCTTTGGTGTTCTTTATCTATCCTTCTTTTTATCAATATAAAACTGCTAAATAGACACTATGTTCCAGTAGTGCCTGTGTTGTAGCAACTGTACAGCTGAATAGCAGGCCCATTGCTGCCTGCTAGCAACTATAGATTTTATTCTGCAAACACACTAACATAATGAAACCTTTGTATTAGTCACACATCCAGAAAACATCTCTTCCTACTGCCATGTATAAAGGCTGGGATTTGCAAAGGAATCAGGTAATTTCCTTGTAGCTAATATCTAGTAATATGTAGCTTCATCAATACAGCCCTTATTAATCTACTTCAATTGCTTTATCTCACAAATCCCTTTGTCATATAACTAAAAAAACCCTTCCTTGATAATTGTGACATTTGATCATATTATGACATCAATACATATGTATTTGTGCATTTTTATTCATATCAAATCTTAGAGTTCTGTTTTAAAGTTTGGTTGAGTTGGGAAAAAAAAGATCAAAATCTCAGAAAGTATGAAAGGCAAGAACATGCATCCCACAGTGAGTAAAATGCTACAAAATGTTTCATATTGTGAGAATTACATCTTTTATTATAGCATAAAAACAGCAGCTTGTCAGTCTTCACGTGCTGCTGAGGAAAGGACAATAAGAGCAGCTATCAAACTGCAGCAAATCAATAGAACGACAGAATATCCTAAGTTGGAAGGGACCCACAAAGACCGTCTATAGTCTGACTTCTGACTCCACACAGGATTGACCAAATTCAAACTTTATGTCCAAGAGTGTTGTCCAAACACTCCTTGAACTCCAGCAGCTCAGTGTCAGGTGTCCCCTGCCCTAGGGAGCCTATGACAGCACCTCCACATCCTCTAGGGAAAAATCTTTTCCAATCCCCCAACTCTCCCTGATGCAGCTCCATGCTGTTCTCCCAGGTCCTATTGCTATTACCAGAGAGCAAAAATCAGTGCCTGCTCCTCCACCCCTTTCAGAAGGAAGCTGCTCACAGAAATCCATTCATCCATTGATTTTCTCATAGCTAAAGATTTCTGGCTTCTAAGAAGCCTAAGAGAGCTTAGTGATGAACACATGCATGAGATCTGGAAAGTAGTTTTGTAATATTCCAGTCTATTTACATTTCAATTACTTTCATGCTCATTCAGCCTCTCTGTACTGAAGAGCTATCAGATACAGTCACTAACAGAAACTTTACTTCACTTTTCTGTGAAACTAAGAGTTCCAGATGTGCTTCCAAGCGTATCCTCTCGTCCATGCTTGTCTGCAATCTTATATGACATGAATGTCAACATTAATCAAATAATAAGGACCATTTTGTATAACAAGCTGATTTCTCTGTCTTCATCAGCATAAGGCAATGATTCAAATGATAGGAAATAAAAGATGGAGAGGAAATCTGTGATTATAGGCTAGGCCTGCCATTAAGGAGCATAAAACGATCAGGAAGAAATAGTAAACGTAACAATACTCAATTGTCACTGCAAAAATACGGGATCTCTTAACAGCGCAGCACAAATCCATCGCTTTTTCTGTAATAGAACACCAGAAAACCAGAAGCCTCCAGCACTCAGAAAGTAATTCCATTTCTTTAAGTATCTTACAGAAAATGCATTCAGACACCTGCAGGGCTGAAATTTTTCCTGAATCCTGATGCTACTTTGCAGAAGAAAAGGAAAATACAGAAAATTCTTCTGGAACTCATGATGGGAAGCCAACTCCAGTTCAGCCAAGCCATCTTCCTGCCAAAATAGGAACTTCATTTAGAGCATTTTGTAGCGTTTTCTCCCTGCAATATCAAAATATCAACTCAATATTTCTCACTAGTTCTCTTTGGAAACGAGTTAACGTACAGACTAATAGATCTGACTGTCAGGGAAGTCAGACTAGACAATGAAAAGACTCTGTGTCTACTACCTATCCTTGTATTTTTCAATTACTCCTAAGCCTTCCATTTTCCGTTCAATAAACATTCTCCCTCCTTCATGAGTATTTACAACTTTAAGCTGTTAACCTTTCACCTTGAAAACGTCACTGTGATCTCCTGCTGCCTGCTGTTAAACTCCTTATTCTTTGCTCATCAGTTGGTCCGTGTGCCTTGCTTACCTCATCACCCTCTGTATTCTGCTCAGATACATTGCGGTAGTGATCAAAAAGAGGAGCAATACGACAACACACTGTTTCACCAAAGCTGATTATAAGAAGATCCCAAGGTATTGCATCCTACAGCCCTCTCAATTCCTCAAGATTCTTGCTCAAAGGCAAACATCAGTGCACACTAATCTCATGTGATACAGAATGGCCATTCAGCTCTCTCCTGAGATCTCCTTGTTTATCTGTGATACAATCTCATCAGTCATTTTGTTCAAAAAAATTCTTCTTAGCTGATTATCCATTGTGACATCAAATCTCTCCCTGGCATATTTCATTTCAGAAAACGCATTTACACCCTTTCCATCTTCATCCTTTGCTTTCTGAAACATAGTTTTACTGTGTTGGCAAGTTGCACTCTGACTTATCACTTCATATCTTAGTCTTTATGTTATCAGCAGATTATCAATACAGTTTTCAACATCAAGTGCAATCAATGTAAGTATGTGACTGAAAAGAGAATGTCCTACATTCACACCATGACCTTCTCTAAACTTGAAAACTCATTTAAAAAGGATGTTACAACAAAACACCTTTTTAAATAAGATGTTTTGATAGACAAGCAATTATGAACTTTTTTCTAGTTGTCTCATATCAAGTGTCTTGATATTTTTACTCAGACTGATGTCAAGGCAGCAGTCTTCATACTACGTAGTCACATACTTCACAAGAGTAGAGAGTTTATCAGTGTATACAACTAAACCTAGCACATTCCACTTACCCTTTTTTAAATACTAATGCAACATAAACTCTCCTCCAGTTCTCTGGAATTTCTTCAGCATCTCAACACTTCTGTCTTTTAAAGATCTCTAGTCAATTTTCTCAAAATTCTTGAACACAAGCTGTCTTGACCAGTTGTTTTACAAAGTGAGTGCTTTAACAACTGCCTTTCCACAAATCTGTATGTTGTTACGGAACCTCTTTCATCACTAATATGTGATGATTAAGCATCAATTTTTTGTTTTTTTCTTTCCTAGAGAAGACATGCTTATTGAATCCTTTTTGCCTCTATTGTTGATAACCCTATACCACATGTCTATGACTAATTAATACCATTGCTAAGGTGTTTTTGCTACTAACGCGCTTGAAAACCTTTTTAAACTTTCTAACTCTATTGCTAGTTCCATCATTAAGCCGCCTTCTTCCCAACTTCTTTTTAATACAAGCAAAACCATTTTTTTCTTTATTATTATTTATACATCAGAAGATCCTCCCCTTTCAACTATAGGTTTGCAGCTTTCTAGCCATTTACACATACAACTCAATTACTATCCATATTTTTCTCTCCCCAACCTTTCATTCAATTGAGTTACTGTGACTTTGTTTTAAACTTCAGAAGATTTGCATCTTCTGGAAGTATCCAGATACAGCAGCTCAGAGTTATTTAGGCAGTAAAGTTCATTTATTTGAATATCTATGTCTAGGTACATATCAGACTGCTCTAGATTTTATTCCGTTTGCAAAAAAAAAAGTTTCAAGCTTCAATCACTTCCACTGGGGTAACACCTGGCTTTATTTCTGAGCTGAGTTCTTAGCTCAGCCCTTTGTTTACACACAATAGTAACACAATATCCTAATATGTGATTCAATGTTTCCCATACAGATAAAGCAATCTACTCAATAGCCACCAAGAAATTTCACCTTGGCAGAACAAAGATCTCCAATTTGAAGACTTCACCCCTACATATTAAGAACTTGTTTCTCTTATGACATACAACAGGCTAGTTCACATTTTATCCAAGTCTCAAATTGGATTTGGAAGTCTACAGCAGTCATCAGCAAGCATAAATATTTATTTTAGGTATTAATTTATCTTTTGGACTTCTGGTACAATGGCTGTGAAAAGAGGAAATGTCATTTTTGCGATGTACTGTTGTTTCCAACCTATTTCTGTCTTTCAATTTCAGCCACAGGAATTCTCCCTCCAAGTCAGAGGAATTTCATCTTATCAGCACTTTGGTTTAGAAATGAATAATTTCACTTCAGCTCCACTTGTTTATTAGCCAGCCTTATCACAATGGCAAGTGGGCAATTAAAGAACTCTTTCAGTCCTTTGAGCCTTGATTAATTTTGTTCTCCACATCTTGATTCTCGTTTAAACGAATTCTTTTTATTCTTCACTTTCCATCAATATCTACACATTGATTGCTAATTTAATATCAATCACACTACTCTGGCACATCAGATCTAAAACATTGCTTCCCCTTTGAAAAGCTAGAGGCCAGTCAAACCATACAGCCTCTTTTCCTCAAAGAAGATGGATTTGTGAAACCTATGTCTGTAAGTCTTATACAGCATACCTGACTAGCAGAATACTCACAGCATTTATTTAGTTTTATTTTACTCTCTGTATCATTTCACATACAGAACATGAATGGCATATAAGAATGTATCTTGAATACCCTTCTTCTTTGGAACCATTAGAAGATTTCTAAAATTAATTACCTCCAGTGGAACTAAAATGAGCTATTTATGTTGGCATGGACTATCCCTGGTATGTCTTTGCTTATTTACTTCAGAAAACCTGTTCAGCTATTGCAATCCCATCCAGTATCCTATCCTCAGAAGACAGAACACCACCTCCTTGCTCTCCCGCACAACGCTGACAAGAATCTTTCCTGAAGGGAGGGAGGTGGATCAATCTGAAGAGCTTTTTATAGCTGGGAACTGAGAAACTCCCTGCTATAATGCTCACTTGGAATCTCAAA